AATTTTTTTTTAATTATCCAGGCATGGTGGTGCATGCCTGTAGTCCCAGCTACTTGGGAAGCTGAGGCAAGATCACTCAAGCCTAGGAATTCGAGCTATAATTGTGCTATGAGCTGTAACTGTGCCACTGTTCTCCAGCCTAGGCAACAGAGCACAACCCTATTTCAAGAAAGAAAAAGGTGCAGAGTAAGTAATGTTGAATATCAGGCTGTTATATACAAGTTGAAACTGAGTCTAGCTCTGAATTTGGGAAGGCAGAGACAAAAAAGTGAAATAGGTTTACTTTGAGAGGCATCATGATATAATAGAAAGAATGCAGTATTATAGACCAACTGTCTCAGTCGAGTTTTGTTCCACTACCTCCTCACTGCCATATACCTCTAAAATTGTTTTCTCATCTGTAAAATGAGAATAGTTATGTTTAATCTAGTAATACTATATGATTATTTTGTCCAATTAGGTAATGGGAAACCATTCTGTTCTAAAACATGGTTGTTATTATTATCACTGACTTAATTTTTTAACATATGCAAATAGTAAATTTATCTGGATTGAAACTTTTTTCAGCACTTTGTATTCACACTCAAGACCGTTTGTGCAGGCCAGGTACAGTGGCTCACACCTATAATCCCAGCACTTTGGGAGGTAGAGGTAAGCAGAGCACTTGAGGCCAGGAGTTCAAGAGCATCCTGGCCAAAATGGTAAAATCCTGTCTCTATAAAAAATACAAAAATTAGCCTGGCGTGGTGGTGCATGCCTGTAGTCCCAGCTACTCAGGAGGCTGGGGTGGGAGTATCACCTGAGTCTGGGAGGTCGAGGCTGCACTGAGCCTTGACTGGACCACTACATTCCAGCCTGGATGACAGAGTGAGACCTTGTCTCAACAACAACAACCAAAAGTTTGTGTAAAAAAAAAAAAAAAAGCTGAAAAGTGGCCCAGCGTGGTAGCTCACACCTGTAATACCAGCACTTTGGGAGGCCAAGGCAGGCAGATCACCTGAAGTCAAGAATTCAAGACCAGCCTGGCCAACATGGTGAAACCCCATCTCTACTAAAAATACAAAAAAAAATTAGCCAGGCATGGTGACATGTGCCTGTATTCCCAGCTACTCAGGAGGCTGAGGCAGGGGGAACTGCTTGAACCTGGGAGGCAGAGGCTGCAGGGAGCTGAGATCGCACCACTGCACTCCGCACTCCAGCCTGGGCAACAGAGCAAACACTGTTTTAAAAAAGAAAAAAAACTGAAAAGCAAGCTGGGTGTGGTAGTGCATGCCTATAGTCTCAGCTCCTCTAGAGGCTGAGGTGGGGAAACTGCTTAAGCCCAGTTTTAGGCCAGTGTAGGCAACCTAGCAAGACCCAATCTCTACCAAAAAAAAAAATGTTTTTTAACAGAAGAACAAAATAACATGTCTTACAGTTTTGATTCTAGTCACATAGATGTTTCTTATAACTCTTCTTTGTAAGCCGAAAGAGTTATATTAAATCATAATTCACTAAAGGCATTTCTGTGGAAAGGTGAAATGACAAGTTCTAAGTACATTCCTTTCTGATGGTTTGCTTAACACAGAAGTCAAAAAGTTGGCTTGTCTATCAACTTGTCTCTCATATGAACCAAAAGCCTCAAGCTAACCTTTGGCGAGTGCTAGCCTATAGTCAGTTTGAGATTGCATTTTCTACAAAAAATGTCAAGGACCAAACTCTGCAGTGTTGATGAAAAGGAAACCTATGTATGATACCAAATATGCAAGAAGCAGAGTTCAATTTCAGTGTTCAGTGGTGAAACTTGAATAGCTGGTCAACTTACTCAGGAAAGTGTTTCCTGCCACATTCGGTGCTTGCTTATAGCATGCTTTAAGCAAAAGCCTTAAATACTAGGAATAGAGAGAGAGGAGTTAATCATAAAGCATCCTGTGGAACTAGTTTTATTAGTACATTAAAAAAACTCTAGTGGAAAAAAAAACACTTCATAGAGAAATAAAAACTAAATTATAATCCCAACTCTGCTACTAAGTGACTTTGGACAAAACACCCAACCCATATGAGCCTCAGCTTGTTAATCTGTAAAATAAAAGAATTTCAGATTAGGGAGTTTTAAGATTTCTTCCATCCCTAAAATGTTATACTTCTGGCATGTAATTATTATTAAACCAAATCAGAAACTTCACAAGAGACCATTAGTAACACAGACGAAACCTAACGTAATAAACTGAGATGATCACTTATTAAAATTCAAAAATCTGTATTAAGTTAGAAATGCATCAAAATCCAGTTTATAGCAAAGCAAAGCTTAACTTGTCTACTGAATTTACTTACAAAAGTCTGTGTACATTTAAAGGAAAGTAACCTGATATCACCCAACATTAGGTAACAGCAAAAGGGTGTGGCTCTGAAAATGCACTTAACCGTATGTAGAAATCAGTGAGGGACTGGGGAAAACCCTTTTGTTGCTGTAAAATTACTACAAGAATTAACATGTAGCTTCATTGAGTCAAGGCTCAGCACAATTTCAACACATTTTTTAAAAATGAAGATTAGTCTTCCTTGGAACCACAACTTCCTATTATTGAACAAAATCACCTCCTCCCATACTAGGAAACAAACAAAGCAAAACCACCAATTCTACAGTGTTTATCAAGAAGCTTAAAATTTCATAAGCTTTTGGTCCAATAATTCTATTTCTACAGTTCTATACCATGGAAATAATCCTACAAACAGAAAAAAAAAAATCATGCCTAAGAATAGCTATCATAGGGTTATTTATGAAAAAGAAGAAATTGGAAACAATATAAATATAACTAAAAAAGGAATGGTTAAATAAAGGTATAGTATTTAATGGAATAAAATTCAGCCATTAAAAACAGATTATGTAGAAAGTGAAAAGTTATGAAGTGTTATGAGGCCAAAAAAAGAAAGAAAAAGGAAAGATATAGAATTATATATACAATAGAATTCAAGCTGTGTTTAAAATAAACAAAACATATATGTGGAGAAAAAGACTGGAAACTAATTCATGTTAACCATAGTTTTACATGATTGGTAGGACTATGGGTAAATTTTCATACTTTCCTGTTTTCCAAATTTTATTTAATAATTATGTTTTATTTCAAATAATGTTAAAAATTGAATATAAATTATTTTACAAATCTTCAAAATATCCCTCTAAGGTACACAGAGTGTAAGTCAAGGTTATTTAGCATGAAAACCTTGGCAATGCCCTGAAGTCTTTTTTTTTTTTTTTTGAGACAGTTTTAGTCTTCTTGCCCATGCTGAAGTACAATAGCACCATCTAGGTTCACTGCAACCTCTGCCTCCTGGGTTCAAGCGATTCTCCTGCCTCAGCCTACCAAGTAGTTGGGATTTCAAGCATGTGCCACCACACCTGGCTAATTTTTGTATTTTTAGTAGAGATGGGGTTTCTCCATGTTGGTCAGGCTGGTCTCGAACTCTTAACCTCAGGTGATCCCTCTGCCTCAGCCTCCCAAAGTGCTGGAATTACAGACATGAGCCACCATACCCAGCCATCCTTAAATCTTTTTAAAACGCAATGGATTTTAAAGGAAATCCTCCAAAGGAAATTTTTTTTTGTTTTTTAAATCCTGGAACATCCTTGAGAAGTTAATTCTATGATTCTTACTTTTTAAAATATAATTCCTAAAGTAAGAAAGGATTAAATCATGGATAGCAGACACTGCATAACATCAACAACAAGGCTGAACCACATGATACTTCTTAGGTATACCATCAGCCTTCTAGCAACCAGTATATCTAGATATTAGGAAAATAAAATACTTTACCTAGGATCTCTGCCAGTTGATGAACAAGGCCAAAACCGAACTCATTTTCTCAATGACCATTCTTTTGGTGTACAAACTAGACTTTGGTATGGTAGTTTATAAGCCAAGAGTTGAAGCTTATGTTTTAAAAATGACAGTGCTTAGTTTTCTTTTTAAATTCAAAGCTACCTAAAACCCTGGAACTTGCCAGCACACACACTCAAGCCCCAGGCACTATTAAATTACACATTCTTCTTGCTACCTGTTTTTCCAGGTTTTTTTTTTCAATTTTGTATACTTCAAGATCTACAGGCACATATATACATACATGTGTTGCCCTTATTTTTTAGCCCCATACCTGTTTCCTTTGAGATGTGAGTACTTAAAATAGTATAAATGCAGACTTCTGAAAAGCTTCTCTTAATAATAATTTTTAAGATATAACTTACAGAATAAATTTTTTTTAATTATTTTCACCTATACTTTAAGAAAAATGTCTCCAATTATGACATGATAGTTTAAGTGCTATTATCCCTACTCTTTACCTTTCACTTTTCCATTTCAACTCTAAGAAGTTTATCTTCAAACTTTTTTTAAATGTCCCCACTGTATTATTTTTCACACAATATCACTCATCTTTAGTCTTACCTTCACACATCATCCAACTTCAAAAGCCCATAAAATCTTCTGTTTTTCTGTAACCGATAGGGATGGGGACCGATGGGGGTGGGGTGCAAAAGAAAGAAAGAATAACAAATGGGAAATAGATGAAGTTCTTGCTAATACTGCTTTTCAGCTTCATAAAATGTTATGAAAGTCTTATAAAACCACAATCTTCTCTATTTTATAAACCTCAAATATATGCCATATAATACCTTTCAGAACACACAGTATTTTAAAATCACACTGTAGAATCCAAATGACACACAGTTTGCAATTTTTCATTGGAGAAACTTTCAAATGCTTACAAATTTCAATTAACATCCTGTCCTTTCTTTGCCTTTTAATGCTTATTATTTCTTGACTAATTTTTATGAATATCATATCAAAATTTTGATGATCAAATCAGATAAGTATACAGTTCTCTTATGTGTCTCTGGGCAGTGCATTTTAAACTATTTTATTTTGTTTCACTATTTTTAAATACTTAAATAGTAAAGATACAAATGTTACTCTTTTTACTCTGCTTAAACATTATTTTAATTATTTTTATTTTTTTATTTGCAGGAAATCAGAGATGGTAGTTCTCTCAGAATGATTCACTTTGGTCTGGTGTAAACCAGAAGAACAAAAGAAACCCACCTTTTTCATATCTAAACTTTTTCATGGCCTGATACAGACTTAAAATCTCCCTGTGTGGATTCTGAACAAGGAGACAGTATGAATTATATGAATTAGTTAAGAGTTCTAAGTGGAGTGTTTTCAAAATAAAGTTTTATTATTTTAAAAACATAGCATAACAGCACAATGATCCTAAATCTTTAGTCTACTTATTTTCAATAATGAAGACATTTTGAAGGTGTCTTAAATTGTACATTAATTAGGTGCTACAAAAATAGCATATTTAAACTTTGTTCTCCCAAGTACTTTAAAAAGGAGGCAGTAGGAGGCGAGCATAGTGGCTCATTCCTGTAGTCTGAGTGCTTTAGGAGGCAAAGGCTGAAGGATCATTTGAGCCCAGGAGTTCAAGACTAGCCTATGCAACATAGTGAAATGCTGTCTCTAGAAAAATTAGCCAGGCTTGGTGGAACATGCTTGTGAAGCTGAGGCAGAAGAACTACTTGAGCCCAGGAGTTCAAGGCTGCCAGTAAGCCATGATCACGCCACTGCACTCTAACCTGGACAACAGAGAATGACCCTGTCTCAAAAAAAAAAATCTTCCTCTGCTCTTGTTTACATTATTAATTTACATTATAAATACAGTATTTATTATGCAAATGTTTCAGTCCAGACCCATTATTAGAAGATAGATCTCCATGGTTCTCTCAAATTACTGCTATGGGTAGTTTGCCCTGACTGCCCCTGGGAACACAGATACTGTTTCCCTCATGAGCAAGGGGTAGGCATATGAGATTTTAGTTCTTTAAGCTCAGAATGCCTCTCCTTTACACTGCTCACTCTGTGTGCAGGTGACATCTAGCCCTCTTAACATTGTTCTGTAGGAATAGAGCTCAGAGAATCCATTAAAAAAGAAGAAAAGAAAAAATGCCAATACCCTGGCTACTATCAATTGTCTCTGACTCAGGAGTCTCATGTCTTCTACCAGCATCCATGAAACTGTAGTGTGGTAACTTGTTTGCTAATAAAGAGGATAAAATCTCATACCCTTCACGGTTCTGACACCCATTCTTTAGCAGATAACCAATATTTCACAATTATAGACATCTATAATAATCAACATTGTTTACTGCTATACAATTACATTATATAATTAAACTTAGAGTTAAAAGTTAATAAGATTGGAGACTTTTACATTTCATATTTTTCTACTTCCCATTTATCTGTACCTCTACCAGAGGATATGACCAAAAAAGATGAAACTCAAATTACATGTTTTTCATTTTGTTATTGCTCTGAAAAAATTTTAATAATGTATAACATGTAAGACAAACTAAAAAGAGATAGTTACCAGCAAACTTTCATTTTACTACTCCCTTTCTTCTTTATCACACAGACAATCAAAAGTTAACTAATTTTCAAAGAAAAATTGTATTAAAAAATAGGATTTTGTCAAGATTGCAAAATTTTCTCCAGATTTTCTGGTAAATAGTCATTAACCCAAAATACCTTTCCTGTGAGATATTAAATATAAAATATAGATATTGATACAGCTATGTTGTTCTATATAATGATAATAATGTTTGCCAGTTATCTGGGTGAAAATTAAATCATAGCTCTTAAAGTATCCATTTTCCCCACTTCACATATCTCTAGAAAAATTAACTCAAATGTACAGAAAACCAATTTTAGATAGTAATAAGAATATATTATGATCTTTGATAATGTCCATGATTTATAAATGCTGTTATTTCCCAGATGTTATCAATCTGAGAATGTTTATTAACTTTGCTAGAACCTGAAAGGATTATGAAGCTACCACACCATAGCTCTAAAGAAGAGTGGTATAGACAGGAACAGCTAGGTAGTATCTATCCTAGCACTGACAGGTTTACAGTGTCCTTCAGGAACAGACCCATGAGGTTTTTCAACTATTTCCAGATTTCTCATATCTGAGGTAATTTTCACAGTAATTTATATTAGCTATCACATGTGTCTTATTGCTAGAATAAATTTTGTTTGGAATGCTAATGTCTAAAGGTTTTTGCTTCATTAAAAGGCCATGTAAGCACATACATAACCTATGTAACCTTCACATTCTGCACATGTACCCCACTACTTAAGGTATAATAAAGTAAATAAGTAATTTAAAGGAGAAATAAAAGGATTTTAACATAGTATAAATATTAATGCTTAGGCTGATATGAACTTGAAATATAATAAAGTAGTCAGATACTTGTAGATATTATTAATAAATTTGGATTTTCAATTTGTATTTTTTTTAAAAAAGGCCATGCATCCAAAACTTGGTATTATACTTTCTTCTTACTACCTTGAAATGTTTATGAGAGTTAAAATTATACCACTCTCTACTGCAAGTTTGATCAGAGCTACAACATGCATGGCCCTGTACTAGATACTGTACATAGGTATTCTCAATGAAAAGTCCCCCAAAACAGTGAGGAAGATACATCATCATCCCACTCCTATCGATGAGGAAACCTGATGACACTTCTAGCACCAATTTCACCTAGAAAGGACAGGGGAGACTGGCCTCCCCTCCCACAATGTGCCAAGTGGAGTTTTTGAGCTGGCCTGCACTGCCCTCAAGCAGCTGAAGGGTCCTGTGTACACTCAGGAGAAAACTGCTGGTGTACAGCTTCTATAAACAGCCCATACAAATCAACTGCAACATTGCTGCCCTCCAGCCTCAGATGTGAAAGCCAAGGCCAAGTGGGAGGCATGTAATATGAAGAAAGGAATGTCTAAGATGGACATCACGAGGATCTATGTTGCCAAAGTGGAAAAGCTGAAGAAGAATGAGGCTGGCTAAGGACACATTGGCAGACACAAGGAAGCAGCGTGGCTCCTCTGGTACAGAATGCTTTTCTTAAAAAACCTTGATGGCTGAAATGTTCTGAAACAATAGCAAGGTTAGCTGTGACATCAATAAATCACTTAAACTGCATGAGAGTGACTGCTGTTGGAAAAGAGAAACAGTGACTGTGAGTGCTAGGGAGTTAACCAAATGTACAAACTGGTTTTTTGTATGGTTTTCGAGTGGAGTTCCCAGCCTTTCTATTACAAGAGCTAGGTAGGCATTTGGCAGTAGAGTGGTTAGGAGGAGAATGTACTGTGGAAATGCCCAAGGGCTGAGGTCAGTGAAACCATTCTCCAGTGACAGCCTCTTGGGAGGCTGAGGCCCTAACACTTTATCTCTTCAGGGTTGATTCACTAATAACACTACAGAGGGGAAAGGGACTCTGTCCTCCAAAAAGCTAAAGTCAAGACCAAAGCTCCCACTGAGACACAGGCCCTAAGAATTTAATGTTTTTAGGGAGACCAAGTTTTTAGTGATAATGTGGTGAAACAACTGACACAACACAACACAGCAGTTGAGAAATAATGGTGCATGTAGTGTCAAAATACCAGCCTCAGAAAGACTCATCAAAGACCTAGCAACCAAAATTTTCTTGGGATTATTCTGTACCTAACCCTGGTTTCTGCTTGGGGATGTTTGTGGGACAATATGCATACGTATTTATATGTGGGATTTTTTGCAAGAACACAACACATCCCCTTTACTTAAGCAAGTGTTAGAGTGTTTGAGCCCAACTTCTGATCCTTAGTGTCCATTAACATGGAGGCATCAATGCACAACCATTATGCCTGATGACTAGAGTATGGAGTGCTAAATGGTATTCAAAGAAGCAGGTCTACAGTGACATGAGATTTCCTGGTACTTCTTCCTTAATTAAAAATTATTTTTCTGCTGGGTGCAGTGGCTCACGCCTGTAATCCCAGTATTTTGGGACACTGAGGTGGGCATATCACAAGGTCGAGAGATCAAGACCACCCTGGCCAACATGGTGAAACCCTGTCTTTACTAAAAATATAAAAAAATTAGCTGGGCATGGTAGCGTGCACCTAGTCCCAGCTACTCAGGAGGGTGAGGCAGGAGAATCGCTTGAACTCAGGAAACAGAGGTTGCGGTGAGTAAAGATCACGCCATTGCACTCCAGCCTGGGCAACAAGAGCAAAACTCCATCTCAAAAAATATATATACATATATATTTTTTTTTCTTAGATCATGACATCAGGTCAACTCCAGTTCTTGATGGAAGTAATAACAGAAGCAACAACCATAAAAGCTTCATAGAACAAAGGCAAACAAACATCACCATGTGTCTTCAAGATCTTCTGTTCACATATTTGTAGGGAGTTACTATAGACAAGTACATTACTTAAGAATGAAACCTACCCAGGGCATCACAGCAACTAAAGAACTATTTCTTATAACTCTAGACTGGGCAAGAGCCACAGTGTAGAACAGCAGTGCTGTTCTCTCTTGTTTGGAGGATGTTATAAAGACACTTTGATGTTTTTAGGATTATGATGCATGTTAAATGTAAATTATTAGTAAAAATAATAATACATTTACTCCAATATATGATAACAACTAAGAAGTTGTATATATAGCCATACCACTCTTTAAAGCATAAAACCTAAAAAGTAAAAATATGCCTTTATTAGGACAGTAGAAAGTAACCAAAAGATAAAGTTTAAAAAAAGGAGAGAGAATAGAATTTATATATTTGTATTTGCTTATGAAGTGATTGCCTATAGGATGCAGGAGAAATGGGACTGATGGGGATGGGGTAGGAGAGAAGTTTTTCTATGTATACTGTGAAAGGAAAATAAAATCTCAGGACTCACTAATGGAAAAAATTATACCATTCTGGTATATTAACCATTTAAGTTAATACAGCACTTGAAAAACAGCAGGTGAAAAAAAGATCACTATGACATTCATGCTAGTTCTTAAGACAAGAAATGAAATTCCTATATGAATGATGCAACATTCTTACCATAGAGGACAAAAAGTTGAGGCCAAAGGAATTTGTACAAACAAACCTAGTTAAACTAACATTTATCTTCCTGCCTATATATCTACACAATTAACTATCCTAGCCTTACTATTCTTTGTCCAATTCACTATTCAAGTAATTGACTCTAACAGCTTTTCCAGTTCTGCATTCCTTTATGAAGACTCCCATGCCACATAAAACTTGTATTCAGTAAATGTGTATGCTTTTCTCCTGTTTATTTTATATCAGTTTAATTCTTCGGCCCAGTCAAGACTCTAAGAAAATGGAGGTAAAGTTT